CTTGATGCAGTCCGACTAACATGTACACCAGATACGATGCTATTTGTAAATCAACTAAAAGAATGGGCCAAAAATAGCGCTCTGTTCCGGAAGAAACAGAAGCCAACCTGAAGCACAGTATGCTGTTGTTTTTCAAAACCAGATGATAATGCTTTGTTGGACTTTTTAGAAGAAAAGTTTTTTCCTGTGCGAGAAAAAAGTGATGTTTGATCATCAGCTTAGAAAGTTTTTCCTTTTCGCAACGATTACCTTTTATGTTAAACGTAATAAAAATTTAAAAGAAAGGTAAAACAGGAAAAAATTCATCCCATTATAGTCATTCAACTTGCAAGAAGAAATAAGAGAACCTACTCCATACTGAATACCACGTTTTCCCATCTTTGGTCATGTTCATGTGAAGAGTTTATGTCTACTTCAACAAACGATAGTTTATCCAGCTACAATTGACTCTAATGAAACAAAATCAGGGCAACATTAAAGGAAGAATGTGACACTATTCTTATAAAAAAATCAGCTGTTGTTGTTCGTTTTTACGCTCTGAGTACGTTTCTAAACATGAGAAAACTTCACACTTTTTCTTCTGTCAAGTAATTAATGTAATAAAAAGTATTCTAAAGGTAGAAAAGATCACTATTGCCGATATGCACGATGAATACGTTAATTTTTAAAGCCATGTCGTGTAAAAAATTAAACTGTGATACAGAAATAGAAATATTATTACACCTAATAACTAAAAGATAAAATATATGACGAACGACCAGAAGTTTATCATTGTTCGTCTGTTTTACATTGTATGAGTAAAACGGGTCTTGAAAAACAAGAATAACTTTTAGAACTATTTTTCCGATGAAAATTCTCTACAAAAGGAGATATGTAACCGATTTTTTCATGGGTGAGCCTATTGGCACTCCTGGGAGTGTCACAAGGGGGAAAAAGCATACTTCTGTACTTCTGGTACTTCTCCGTACTTCTTGATACTTCTTCGTACTTCTTCGTACTTTTTTGTACTTCTCCGTACTTCTCCGTACTTCTCCGTACTTCGAAGTACAAAAAAGTAACGGAGAAGTACCGAGAAGTACAAAAAAGTACGAAGAAGTACGAAGAAGTATCAAGAAGTACGGAGAAGTACCAGAAGTACAGAAGTATGCTTTTTCCCCCTTGGAGTGTCAACAAGAAACTATTGGTACCCCCATGCAAAAAACTTTGCTGGGAGTATGAGTAAGGACGTCATCTGATTTAAGTGCGGCGCGACGTTTGAAGGTTCCTCGAACTATTGTCTGACTCGCAAATTCGGATTGTGTTGTCACGGGCATCTCACGCATTGGCAAGAGAGAAGGGCGGATGGATAGTGAGAATAAGTGAAAAAGCTTAAATGAAATAGATGAAAATTGATATTGATAACCCTTGGGGGTGTCAGTAAGGAGATCATCCGATAAGCAACTTGTTATGTAGTAAAACTATCTTGATTAATGCTTTAACTTCTCCACTCAGTTCAGTAATGCATTACTATGCTATTTCATTCACAAAAAAATACAGCTATATATACATATCTCCGAACACCCGAAAAAGGATCCGAAAGGGATCTAATGACGTCAGAAGAACTGGTCAGAACATGACATCATTAGGTCATAGTGTACAAGAAGAATAGGAAAGAATGTCATTTACAACTGGTCGGACTAATGACGTCAGCGGAACAGAGAGAAAGAGAAAGGTCACTATAACATATGACCTTATAACATAACATATGATGCAAAAAGAAGAACGAAACTAAGACAACAAGGACTACTTAATAAACTCAGTCTGCGGAGATCACTCACACAGTCTACCGCAATGTTAAACTTCTTTCAACTTACCTGCTCGGTGAAACTATCGTTAGATTGAGTGTTCATCATGACCCTGAATACTGGAAATTTTCCACCTATTATAAATTCTTGTTATACCAATTTTCATATACAAGAATTTCAGCTTTTTCACTCACTCTCACTATCCACCAGTCCTCCTCCCTCCCCGATGAGAGAGATGCCCGGTAAAATGCTAATATAGAATCAGAACCTTGCGAGTCAGTAGCTCCTAGTTAACACTCCCGAGAGTACCAATAGTTCCTGGTTGACACTCCCAAACACTTGCTGGAAGTGCCAGTAACTTCTTGTTGACATTCCCGGGAGTGCCAATAGCCATTCCGTTTTTTGATATTCAGTTAAGAAAAATGAGCATTACACTGCTAAGGTTTTCCCTAAAACAAACAAAAAAAAGCCCTCTGAAAGTATTTGTTCTTTGGTATCACTGAAGAACTGACTTTTAATCTTAAAAATTTGAGCTGTTAGGCTATTTTGCTCGAACTCGAGCATGTGAAAAAGTTCTCAGCAACTAGAAAAAAGCATTCCTGAGATATTTCGTCTATGACTATCGCAAATGTAATATGAATCAAATAAAACGCAGGGTGTTGAGAAGTTTATAGATGAAGGCCCTGTGAGTATTCGACTCTTTTGAGTATGTTATTTTTTTCTGTAATGCTTGCTTGTAATCATAATTTGAGAATGAGAAATGAGATAAGCATAACTTCGTGCCGATTGTTAATGTAGTACTTTACTGTCTAGATTTGCAAGTGGGAAAGATACTTATAAACAATGGTTTTCGCAAGGTCAATTTTTTTAGGATATTTGCGGATTTGATGATTAGAGCAATATGAGATTCGCTCTATGAGTCCCTGTTGCACAATCCTGTAGCAAGAAGAAAATTTTTATGTTAAGTGGTCTCTTATTCTTAGAAAATACGCCGAATCATAAAAATTTACTTTGTTTAAAGACTATTAAATATGCTGACTTTGCAAAGATTTCAAAATAAAAAAGAATTTTGTGATGAAGTTTTAATCCCATGTTGAATTGAGAAATACAGGCGGTAAGAAGTCACAATAGTCGGACAAGGATTTTTTAGAGAACGGAATTAGAGCTAAAAAGAGAACGATTGCGTATTTATGGTCAAATTTGGAGTGATTAGAGAACGGTCAGAATTATAAAACGAAAAAGCCGAAAAGAGAACGGAGTTAGTACTGAGAAGAAAACGGTTGTGTAAATATGAAGAAGCATGCGTCCGAAAAATTCTACTTTAGAACTGTACAAATACAGTGAAAAAATAACTTTCAAAACCGTTCTCTTTTCAGTCCCGTTCTCTAAACAGCGTAAAAATTTAATAATTCGTAGTCCGTCCTCCATTCAGTCCAAACTCCGTTCAATTTTCATACTTTTTCCAGAATAGTCAGGTAGAAATTTTCTCGATAAAAATAATACAAATGTTCAACAATTTCAGAAAAAAATAAAATAATTTTTGTGATAGCCAAGAGTTGGCACGATCTAGAGAATATGCAGAAATGAAACTGCTGTGTAATCATTTTGAGCTTAACTTCTTGGTGTAAAATTGATTACATCGTGTTCCTGAAGAGAAAACCGGGTAAAACATGATGAAATCGGTGCTTCAAACGAAGCTCTTCAGAGAGAGCTTTCTTCACCCGAAAAGTTGTGTTTTTTAGTGTTTTGGATTCGAGAAATTACTAGATTTCTTGAGCTATGGGACACAACTTTTTGCGTTTATTGAACTCAAGATCTCGACCATTCAACAAAAAATTTTTATAATCAGGGATATCATGATTAAATACAGTCAGATTGATTAAGAGGGAAGTTTAAGCATTAAACTTTGACAATTCAGAATGAGAAATATTTCAGAAGCATCAAGTCTAGTCCCGTTTTCCGTAGTGCGGCTAGAAGCTTCAAAAAAACGTTTTGTTCAAAAGTGTGTATAACGGAAAGAACAACGGAAATTTTTTTTGCTTGTTTTAAATATCCCTTTTTGTTGAAACTGCAATCAGAACATTTCTTCTTGGTTAAAATACAAGTTCTCAATAGTCAAATAAGATTAAATAAATAAAACCCTGAAAAGATGATTAATTTGCCATGTCGCAAACCAATATTTGAACAGAAAACGCTCAAAAACTCAATAAGTCAACACTTTTTGAACTTTTAGACCGAGAATGATCGTGAAGAAAAATAACAAAAATTGCGCAAGGTTCTTCTTGAAGTTCTAGATGTGCATTACGATTGCAGAAGGAATCGGAAAATATATTCAACGCTTTTTCTCTTACAGAGAGTTCAAAGTTGGATATAGTCGAAAATGGGCTCCAGCAAAACGACTGTCAGCCGAACACCTATACAATATGCAATCCAAAAGCTTTCCGCATCTTGAATTTGGCACTATTGGCAGAAAGTGCTGAAATGAAAAAAATCGCCTCGACACAATATAACACCGCTTCCAAAGCTTTACCACTTTGGACAAAATAAAAGTCCTGAATCTTCTAATGTGATAAATCCTTCACAAAAGCTGAATATACCTTCAGGTTTTGGGAGCGAAACAAGTGGCGGGAAGATAAAGGGTGAATTAGAGCTATTTGGCGCCAAATTCGGGTTTCTCTTTTGCGCTCGAGTCTGTTTCTCTCACAATTGGCGGGACGATTCTAATTAGAGCTTTTTCTCAAGAATTCATGCAAGAAACTGCACTTTTTCGTATTAGTTTTGAGAAAAAGAATAGCTCTTTGGTTAATTTTAGGCATGGCAGCCATTTTGAATTTCTATTGGTTGGCGCACAGAACCAGTTAAGCTGTAGCCCATTCGTATGATACTATTTTCAGTGTTGAAATAGTAAATTGAGCACTACAAATTATTTCTTTTAAAGTTAAATAACTCAGACAGAATAAACAACGAGCAAAAAGTCCAATATCCGTGTTTAGGCGCGAAAACACTTTGGCAGTGGCGCCAAAATAATGGCGCCTACAAATAGAAATAAAATAATTTTTTTTTCTGAATTTCCCTTTTCCAAATTTTATGCTAAGTTAATATAAAATTAATTCTAAGATTTTATATATATATATGAGTCTGTATCTCTGAGCCTGACAAAAGTTCGTACTTTTCATATGCTATGCATGTAAATATGGTCACTTCGATATCGTTGAAATGTTGCTCGACAAATATCGGTTGGATGTTGAACAAACTGGCGTTGTAGAAATCGATTCCGATCTGTACTATGACGTAACAGCACTATGGATTGCTGCAGCTGGTGACCATGTCGATTTAGTTAAGCTTCTTGTTGAATATGGTTCACAACTAGAGCATGCGAATAGATACAAATCAACCTCATTAAGAGCTGCATGTTACAACGGTAATTTGATTATCATTAAATTTTTAGTAGAACATGGTGCACAAATAGATCCACAGAAATCAAATAATAGTACATGTTTAATGGCTGCTGTTTATAAAGGTCATTTTACAGTGGTAGAATATTTATTATCGTTACACTGTGAGCTACATATTCTAGATCGTTGGCAGAAAACAGCTTTACATTATGCCGCTGATAGCTTACCGATAACTAAATTGCTCGTAGACCACGGGCTACAACCTAATAAAGATCACAATAATATGACTTTATTGATGATTGCAGCTGACCAGAGAAAGGTTTCTATTGTAGTATATTTTGTCGATAATAATTTATGCACCACTAAAGAACACATTGAAGCTATTGAATTACTGTCAACATCCTATCTTATTGATAATGAACATTATAGTTTAACTAAAGGATATGACTACATGAAAATGGCTATGGAATTACGACATTCAGAATCAGTTTCCAAAGAACGAACTCTGCTACCACCGGTAGAAGCCTATGAAAATCGTTGTGAATGTCAACCCTGGAGGAATTAGAAAAAATACGTTTTGATGCAAATGCATTGCACGTGGAAGCCCTTCTGATACGGGAACGAATTTTAACAAGGACAAATACAGACTATCTTCTTCATCCACTTCGTTATCGAGGCTGTGTTTGTGCTGATAATAATCAATTTGATCGTTGTTTAAAATTGTGGTTACATGCTACGAACATTGCGAAATCGATAAAAGATGATCTTCTCCGATTTGCTCACCTGTTTTGTCAAATGTTGAAGAAGAAAATTGAAATTCCGTTTGAGATATTAATCAAAGTACTGAGATTTTGTCAAGAAGAATTACAGCAACTGAAACAGGAAAATAAAAGTGAAATGCTTCATACTCTTGTATATTTTATGGTTATTATAACAAAGGTCAGCTTTATTCTTCTCGTAGAAAACACCAGTATCTTGTATCTTCTCGCGTAGATTCTAAATACAATGACAGAAGAAAAGCGAACGGAAATCTATAGGATAATTTATCAATTGAATCGATTAAATATGAGAACGGAAAATGGTTCTACATTACTACATCTGAGTTTAAATGCAGAAACGAAAGTCGATGATTTTTATACAAACTAGATATGCAAGTATGTATGTGATGATGGTTTTCTCTCAGTTTTGTATGCCAGCTCTTTTTTTCTATTAAACAAGGTTTCCGTGTGCAGCAACAGTTCGGTTACTTATCGAACACGGTTCAGACCTGAATGCTTTCGATAATCAGCGGAATACGCCATTACACATTATTTTGCAACAACAAGATATAGAACTTGAAACACTGAAAGCTGTGATCATACACCTAATTAAGAAGGGTGCTCATTCAGTTATACGTAACTCTCAGGGACAAACACCTCAAATGTGTGCACTAACGAAAGAAGCAGAAACATTTATACAATGAAGTCAAATTTGAGTCTAAAGTGTATTATGGCACGTTATGTGAACAAAGGACAGGGGTCGATAAGAGGCAAAATCGGCCCCCTCTCAGATCATATTCACAAGTCTGATGTAGTTTTTCACCGCGATTAAAACTAGCACCTCAAAAAACCCATTTTCTAATTCTCTGCGCACCTGTATCGTTGGAACACAAAGTACTGTCAACATTCGCTGCAAATAATATTTCATAAAAGCCCATGAATATATTATAATTCATCTTGACACGAGCAGATGTGCTGGTACTATTTCTCAATTGTATTAATTAATACTTTTACACATTCTGCTTATATAGATGTGGCAAACTGTTTTCTTCTTTGTGTACGAAACGTTCTCAACAAGTAACTAATATCATTTTAATAATAATTTTAATTAATAATAATAATTAATTTTTCATCATAGAATAAATCGCGCATATGTGGTTAAATAAAATCTGTCTCTGCAATAAAACAATATTAATTGATGTTTAAAAAATGTTTATTTTGTCCCTTCAGAAAATTCATTCTGTGTCAGTAGATAACCCTGGTGAATGTATTCGAGACCAAGTACTTAGAAAAAGGTATAAAGAAAATGTATAAGAAAAAAAGGTAGAAAATAAATGCGTTTTCCGAGTATTGAAGCAAGAAAGATCAGAATCGATGGATTTGAGAATTACTTAGAAGAATTACTCTTTGTCTCACAAGTTTGATCAGATTAAAATAATTCTTTATAGCCATTAGCTAAGACTTTCCTCTTCTTGGCCATATAAACGGATAGGAGCTTTTTACCCATTAAATCCTGCAAGAACTACATAGTCATATACTTTGACCATTGTATGTCCCGGCAGATTAAATTCAATCTGTTAAAGCCAGTTTGAAAGCAAACCCGAATTTTCTTTTTCTGTTTGATAGATGAAAGGGCGAGAAATCTTTTGGTGAAAAAACTTTTTCTTACGATCTTCCGGATCAAATAGAAAACCAAAACGAAGAGGGAAAGATAGGTGTTTTTCTACTAAATGTCCCAACAGATTTTTGATTTTGTTTCTTCGATTTCTCGGTAACTATGAGAGATCAACCAACGACTTTTGTATCTTTTTAAGCTTATCAGACGAAGTCTTTGATAAAAATTTCATCTCGTAAATAAGCATCGTTTGCGTGAAAACGGCATTTTACTCCAAAAATGTCTCGATAGATTAAAACGAAAGTTATTTAAAGAAAGCATAAGTTAATTTCAACTTTTAGACTTCAGTCGACTCTTTATTTCAATCGGGATGAGGGTGAGAAACGTTGTCGGACATTTATGGAGTATTCTTCTTACCTTAGATGACCGAGAGATCTGCATCTTTTCTTTATTTTCCCGTTTTCTGGCATGAAATAAAAGTATTTAACGAAGAAATTTAAATTATTTATTAAGAACTAGTCTGATCACCCACAAGCTTAAATGTTTTCTTTTTTTCATCTACTTATTACTACAACAATGTATAAATATCCATTTCGAAATTTGATTTCTTCAAGAAATCTCGGAAAACATTAATTTTTAAGAAAACTCTATTTTTTCTGAAACGAAAAACGTGACAGTTGGGCAGATACTTGGTTTGTATACAATCAATGGAGCTCTATCAAATGTACGACTCAGATTTTCTTCATGTTCACTCGATTTTTTACTTCAAACGGTACAACAGCAGCGCAATTCACCCATAGAAATAGGTCAATGCAATTTCGTGGTGTTTGAAGGAGTCAGTGTTTGATCAGAGAAAAAGGTGTTTATTCGGTTTTCAAATAAATAATTAGTGGAAAATTAACAAAGTAGTATTCAAGAACATCTAAGGAGAAATGAATTAATTTGATTCAGTAGCCGAGTTTGGGTTCGAATAAAGATACAAGAATGGATCGATTTGGTTTTCTTCCTATAGGAGAAAAATGCACAGGCATTTCGCTTGATGATTCTGTGCTGTGTTGCTTAACATCAACATGCACTTTTGTACACACTTTCATTATTGTACATCATCAGTTTCAGATGTTTAACTGCTACTCGTGCGGTTGCGGATCTATTCCTCAAAGCTGTACGATCAGGAAGAACTGAGAACGAGTAGCATCGTAATTATACATTAAATTACTTTAGGCCGGTTTGATCAAAGCAAAAACAAGAATAAGCTCTGTAAAATTCCGAAGTTCTTTTTGTCACGCCTGTATATTTAACGGTGAATTCCCGTTTCGTCGAAAGCTTAATTAATATTCTTGTTTCGTCGAAATAATTTTTAGAGCTTTTTTTCTAGTACCCGTTTTGTCGAAAATAAAGCTTTAGCTGTTCCTCCGTTTCGTCGAAAAATAAAACTTGAACTAGTTTTATTACCACCACTTGTTTGCATATAACATGTATGAGAAGAAAAATTAAAATTTAATTTAAAGTTTGGTTTGAACTGATATAAGTAGTATTTTGAATGGAAAAAGAACGCAACAGAACAGAAAGAATAAAGAATTTCAACAGAGATGAAATGAAACAACATGAGTATGAACGATTTTTGTGAAAAGAACTGATGATATTGTATTTGAATAGTCATTAGATGAATTGAAATTCGAACGGAAAAAAGATTAACTTTGGCGAGAGGACTTACCTTCAGAGGTACCTTCTCGAGATCTCGACGAGGACAACCTTGATTCCGCTATTTTTATTTACCGAGAACATTTCCTTCCAAACCCCTCCGGAGTGATATGTAGCGCATTGAAAAATGTCAATTCTCACTAGAGTGTGAACTTTCTTACCTTTAATATCTTTAGAAGTATAATCAATTGATCGTGTGAGATATTCAACCACGCATACGTCTTTGAAAATATTTTCATCAAGTTGATATTTCCTATTATACTGTTGTTTGGTTCTCTTCAACACATCTATTAATGGAACTTCACTAAAGTTTCGTTCTTTTAGAAGATCTTCATTAGCATATCGTAAATTACGTTCATAGATGGCTAGTGGTCCATGCTGATTAATTTGTTTTACTAAACTAAAATTCAATAAAATAGGTTCCTGAACAATTGAATAGATAACCGTAGCTTCTCGAGCAGCTCCAGTCAATGGGCAGTCAGTCGTTTCCTTCTTTGAATCGTGCTTTTTATCACCTATAACCACCACTTTGACCATACATGGACTTCCTCTATTTTTCTGTACGAATTCAGTACGAAACCATTCCCATTTATAGAATCTATCATGCTCTCTCTCCTTCTCTATTTTCTTCTCTAAGAAAGAGGACACAGGTGACGAATGATATCTCTTTCACTGTTTCTTCTCTGAACGAGCGATACGGTTGATTAATTGGAGAAAATCAATTAGATGGAAACAGAAAGAAAGAAATATCAACAGAATTGAAGGAAATGACAGTTATGTTTGGGCAAGTTGATAGATCAAACTCCGAAAAGACGCATATTTCACTTGCAGTAGAACATTATTTTATAAGGTTTCATGAATGCCGCTTTTAACTGAAAGAATATGACGAATTCATATCACGATTCTTTTGCTCTGAAAGCGTATCGTTAAATTCAAGTGAAATTAGTCCTTGAATAATTTGATTATTTTCTTTGCTTGATATTCTTCAGCTTCGAATAAAAATATTTCTGAGTTATAGTTGATTGTTGAATTTTGAAAACTGCATAGTATGAAAATCAATTGATGAGATATCAATCAATATCAGGATTTTACTTTCCAAAAGCGAATACTAATATTTAAAAAAAAAAATATATATCTATCAGAAAAGAAGAAAAAACATTTATTCAAATGTATAACCAAATTATATAAAGTACAATATGCGTTTCGAGGCACACTTTGCGGCTCACTTCAGTCGATAAAATAATTTGAAACACTTTTAAAAATATTTATAATGTTTTCAGACTATTTTCTGATTCAGTTTTGAATCCTGAATCCAAAAGCCTTTGGTTCGACTGTAGAAACTATAACGCGACCACACTGCGACCATTTCTCCAAAACCTTGCATTTTGAGACTTTGTGATACCTTGCGAGTTTTTCCAATTTTCAAACCACAAATAAGTGTCCAAAAAAACTAACGAGTGAACGTTTTAAGGTGCTCCCTCAGTTTATTAA